CTCCCAACAGGGCCGAGGGGAGATGGAGAAGTGTGTGGCCCTTCAGGAGGACCATTTCCGTCTTCCCAGGAACTCAAGCCTGCCCTGCGATGGCCTGTGATAGACTCTCAGGAAGCACAGATGAATAGGGAGATAAATCACCCCGAGAAGAGCTTCTAAACTCTGACATGATCTCTCCTCCCAGCAAAAGGCAAAAGGCTGCGGACCTGAGAAACGAGGTGTGTTAACCACACTTAATTTTGACTCCAAGCTCAGCCTGCGGTGCATTTGGTGAAAAAGAAACCAGTTGAGCAACCCGAGTAGGAATGATGGACAGTTTAAGTCTCTGGTATCCTAACCTAGAGAAAACATCCCTAGGCCCACAAAACTGGCATGGGTCTCACTCACCACACCCAAATCCCCTCCCGCCGTTACTCAACAGGAACCTGAACATCCTCAGGTGTCTGCTTGCAACTCGAGGTCCCTTCTGTTCATTCTCTAATGAGTGTATGGAAGGCACGGATTTCAGGCTGTACTGATGTCTAAGGAACAGCCTCATCAGATATAGTCCCAGCAGAGGCTGGCTGTCATCTCTTACACAAACTGGAACTCTTGAGCGTTAACTTGCTCCCATGGCTAACCTGAGCTGGGTTTTTGCTCAGTATCATAATCCATCTGGGTTGGGGCTGACTGCCTGGGGACCACCAGGACCAATTCCTTTGGAAGCCTGAGGCCAGCTCAGCTGATCCCTGCTCTTGGACTTGGCCATGGGAGCCAGTGGTAGTCACTGCAGAAGCCATCCCTTGCACTTCTTTGCTTTGCCAGAGTTTCCACAGCAAGCCCAGAGACAGCCACCGCAGCACAGGCAGGCTCTGGAGCAATCGGCCCCAGGGGGTTGGAGCTCCTGCCTTTCTCCCCTGGAGCTGGAGGCTAAGTCCTAGGTTGTATTAGCCAGAGGTTTTTGAGTTGCAAGTGATATATAAACAAATAACAACAACAACAACAACAAAAACACCTATAATCAACTTAGAAGTCAAAAGAATCTATGAGTTTCGGCTCTCGTGTTCAGCTGAAAGACACTGACATTCTTATGGTCGACATTCATTCATTATCAGCAAGATCTTACGCTTTCAATCTAATAAAAATCCCCAAAGATGGAGCCTCAGGAAAGCCATGATCCAGCCCCTCAGCCAGTATCCCCATGGTCTTCCATCTTCCCAGTCTTTCTGATCTGCCCTTTGTGGTGATAGGTGATGTCCCTGAGCTCCTCCCCAGAAGACCAGGCACTCCTCATGTCAAAATGACAGCAGAATCCCAGACATGCAGGGGAAGAAAAGCATCTCTTTTGACAGCACTCGGAGAAGGGGGAGGCGGGTTTCCCGTCCCATGAGCACTGGCCAGCACCTCTTCTGCCTCCTTGGTGCCCACAGAATGGAATGGTTTCCCCACTGTGGCCCGGAGATGGGATAGGTGTCAGCTCAAGTTCCTCCCAACTCATTGTAGAGTTGGGGGTGGGGTCAATGGCTGAGAATGAGATCCGTGGGTTTCCTACGGTTAATGAAGAGTGGACATTTGGTGACCAAGAGATGCTCAGGCACAGGCTAGCACTGAGACGAGCACAAACAGAGCTAGTCTTCAGCCCAGTGAGACTGCTGGGGGCTAGGAGGCACTTCAAGGAGGAAGACCCCAGGGACAATGGACCTGGCCTCCTGATAAGGGGCGTGTGGAGCCTCAAGCTGGTCTGTGAGTAGAAACAGGGTAAGAAACTTGTGCTCCAGCTCCGGCACCCAGTGCGCACCACATATGGTGATCTCTGATCTGAGGGTCTCATGGAAATATCCCACATCTCTGTCATCTGTCCCCACATTTGCACAATGTCACAGCCTCCCCTTCCTCTCTCTACCATCTCCCCCTTACGCTTGGTGGGAGACTTCAGGAACGGAGGAGAATGGGGGTGAAATGCCAGTTTCCCTTTTCCTTCATTCCCCACCACCAGGGACGTCTTGCTTCCCTGGCCTTTCCAGGACAGATGGCGCTTCTCCTCCAGAGGCCGAGCCAAGCTCCAGGTCTGTTCTCCTGCCCCAGGGACCTTGACTACCAAGCAGACTTTCCTCCCCCAGCCTCAATGTCAGCATGGAAACCTGCATGCAGATCTCCTGACTTTGGAATCAGGCCGCCACTGGCCTGCTCATCCCTGCTCCAGGTCCCAGTCCTGGTTCTTGAAGTCACAGCCCTGCTACTCCAGTCTCCTGGAACCTGCCTCCTGGCCCTTCCTCTGCCCCTGCAGGCTACCTGGGGCAGGCCACTGGGCGGTTCCAGGAGGCACACAGGGTACTGGCAGGGACTGAGGAGCCACACTGCAAAGCTTGAACCTCTGCCCTGGGCTCACTTAGGTGGGATCTTGGAAGAGTGCATTGTGCCTTTGTGGCTGTGTTCTTCAAATGGAGATAACGGAAGGTTTCTCCTCTTGCAGGTGCTACAAGGATTAGATGAGGTCATAATTGCAGCACCTGTCATGGCTGCCGGGCTCTGTCAGCTCTGCACCTTGCTGTAATACGGCACCAGCCCCCTCTCTGTCCTCCCAGTGGCATTGAGCTCTGCCCAGCACCTGTGCAGCCCTGGCAAGATCTCTGCAGCCCAGAGCCCCACTCTCCTGCCTACCTGCCCTGGGGGCACCTATGCTCAGCACCCTCATCCTCAGCTCTGCCTCTTTCTTATCCAGTTTTTTCTCAAAGGCCAGCATGAGGCTCCACACGCCCTTAGCAGGAGGTCAGGTCTCTTGTCCCTGGGGCCTTCCTCCTTGAGGTGATCCTGACCCCAGGGTCCTGCTGAGCTGGAGGCTTGCTCCTCATCTGATACGCCTTCCCTTCTGGCCTCTCTCATCTTCTACTTCCACACTCTCCTCCCAGAGGGCAGCAGCTTCACCAGGCTTCAGTGACCGTGGCTGATGTCCCTCCCAGTTTCATCCCCAACTGTTGAGGCTGTTGCCACCTCCCGGATGTCTTTCCCATGTCTGACCACCTCCCGGATGTTTTTCCCAAGTCTGAAACAGCTCCCGGGCACTCAGGGAGACAAGCATCTTGATCATCACATGCCCTCGGGGGCTTTCTACGAAAACTAACATGGGAGTTTTTGAGCAAGTTGGCTGGATGGATGGTTGAGGGCTGGGTGGATGGACAGATGATGGGTGGATGGACAGATGATGGGTGAATGGAGTGTCTGGGTGGCTGTGTGGATGTCTGGGAGAATGGAGGGGCTGGATGGATGGACAGATGATGGGTGGAGGGATAGATGACTGACTGGCTGAATGGTGGTTTCTAGTTAAGATATTCAGAATAAAAATATAGTCACAAGATAATACTTGAAGTCCTAAAAGAAGTTGATATTGTCAAGGAAGGATGAATAGAGAAGAGCAGATGCCACAACAGACAGAGCCTCAGGGAACAGCTCCCTTGTGGGAATGGAAGAAGATTCCTCTGCAGGCTTCCTGGCAGCCACATTGAGGCCAGGGACTCTCCTGCTACAGGCTGGGGCCCCAGGCTCTTCCTCTGGACCAGTTCGTTGATACTCAGCTGCTGGGCTGGAACCCACTTTGGGTAGCCAGGGTTTACCCTTGCTAACCTCCTTTAAAGATGAGCACATGTACACTTCAGCACGTAAGAAACAATAACGATACAAAATGCACTCCACCTGATAATAATGTAGCCCCTTGGCTTGTTTATAAAGACATATTTCTAAAATATATTGTTAAGTAAAAAAACAATCTTTCCAATATAATTTCATTTTTCTAATGGAGTATGAAAAGTAATTCTGGAAGGATATACATTAAAATAATCCAAGTTGTCATTTTCTTTAGATGTCGAGCAAGTGATTAAGATTTAAATTTCTTTTTATACATTTGGCTCATGTCTTTTTTTCTATTACTATGTATAAGAGTACTAATTCTATAATTTAAAATTTCCATTTAAAAATTTAAATACATGAAAAATGTCTTTCTTTACAAATACAAATATTTCTTCCTAGGCTTAGCGAGCATTTCCCAGTAGTTTCATTGTGCTTGCTCCTGGCCTCCCACACCCTACAGTCTATGGACGCAGCTCTTCCCATGTAAACCAGATCGTGTCTGTTGAAGTCAGGCTGACCTCCTTGTTCTTCTTCAATACGCCAGGGTGCTGCTGTCTTAGGCCCTTTGCACCTGTGGCCCCCTCCCCTCAGGACTGATTTTCATCAGATATTTTCATGGCTCATTCTCACCCTTCATGATCTCCCATCTGGTCTCCACCCAGATGTTCCCAGTACACAGAGGACTTCCCAGTCACACTAATGAAAATTGCATTCCTTCTGCCTGATATCAACTCCCACATCATTCTGCTCAAATGCTTTTCACTGACTGATGTCCCATAAATGTCTCTTTGCTGACCTATACCTTGCAAGCCTCTCTGCTAGAATGTAGCTTCCCAGGGACAGGGACTGTGGATGGATGTCTTGTTCAAGGATTTGTCCCCATGCTGAGAATGAGGACACTGAGCACTCAATAGCTGCCCAATGCATGACTGGGGGTGAATTTCAGGATCAGTCTTAATGGGAGGATGCTCAGCTGTCAGAGTCACTGACACCACCAAGTGCTTTTCTTCCCTCAAATGGACAAAGCCACTTACAGGCAGGGATTCTTGTCTTTAGGGTTCACAGACTCCTTAAGAAATGCCATCAATATTCTTCTTAGAACGCTTCAGGGCTTGTGCCCTGGAGCTGCGTTTTGAAGCTCATATCTGCTGCTCTACATTTCAGGCTGTACTCACTGAAGCATAATTGCTATCTGACTGGGCAGGAAACTACTAGAAAGATCACTGAGAGACAGATAACTACTTTCATAGGATGGCAATAGTTTATGAGAGCATATAGAACACCAAAAATTACTAATGCAAATTTGGAAGTGGAGCTTGAGATGGTGAGAACAAATCAATAACCCAATTCAGCAGAATAAACCGTAGACGCCCCACCGCCCATCTCAGCCTACTCACAGGATCACCTGTCCCCACATCCTCTGGAACACAAGCAGCCAAGGCCACAGCTCACTGCATGGCACGGTCAGGTCTGCCTTCTTGGTGGCCAGCACATGCCTGGTTTAACTGGCCCGCTGTCAGTGTATCATTCACAACCGCTGGATCAGCTCCAAATGTCACTGCAGTCGCTCAGAGCACAGCAGAACCGGAAAACAAAGATGGTAAAGGAGGAAGACCCTAAAGAGGAAGCTGAATGCTGTTGGGAGCTTTGATAGGGTGGTGAGAGGCAGGTAGGAGACTCCAGGGCTGCTGTGGTTTAGAGACGGCACCTCATGACACCTTCAAGAAAGGGAAAGGGGACTTTTAAAGGCTGCCCTGTGGATACAGAACTCTAAAGTGGATCCAAACTCAAAGAAAAGTTTCTGGCAAACAAATTAACATTCAAATGAACTTAAGATGAGTTAAAACAAAGTGGTCCTGATTTTCTCCTTCACCTGACTCTGAGCATCAACCATCTACTATAGAGTGGGGGGCTCCACTGCCCTCTGAAAACAGGGTGAGGAGACAGCCACCCTGAGAATCAGGGGAAGAAGCGGAGCTGGAGCACCTGCAGCAGGTCTTCTGAAGCAGAAGTGCCACCAGGCTGGTTCTGCTCTTGTCCTGGTGCAGTCCTGGCTCAGGGAAAGGACAGAGGGGATCCATCATCTGAGGACAGAGCCCTGCAGCTGAAGGGAAACCAATGAAAGGGAACAAGAGGAAGTATGTATTGGAGACAAAGTGGAAATTCTGCTCATAGTTTCCCTAAAAGGATTTTGTTTGCTCTAATATATGAAACATCAATCCAAGCATTGAGCTGTTTGTGTTTGCACCTCCTGGGATCCCGAGGTTGCTCAGTGATCAGCTCCACATCAACAGGAGACAAGAGGGCCTCTTAGCTATTGCCCGGCCCAGCAGGGGGCCTTGAGCTGGATGATCCTGTTGCATTTCCAGTTCCTGGAGGAGGGTTCATTTGAGAGCTCCAACAACCAGCAGGTTTTAATTGAAAGCTGTTGGGACAGGGCATGTGGCCTGACCTTCTCAGCATGGACTGAGTCCTGGGCTGGTGTGCATGTGGGAATGGGGAGATAGAGCGGCTCTGCAGAGATAAAGAGTAACTGCGCAGAAGTTATCACAATCAGGTCCAAAGCACAGAACTTCCTTGACCTCCCCGCACTTACCAGGCCCTGCCCTCCTTCTTGTTCACTGCTGATAACCTCCCAGCCTCCCTGGCCCTCCAGATAACGGACAGATTCCAAAATCCAGGCAGGCACTGAGCCCTCCTGCATCTCACACTGCAGGTGGATCTCAGAGTCCACCTTTCCGCCTCCTGCCATGCTGAGAAACTACTCAGTCGAAACTCAGACTAGGGCTTCTGGCCTGCCGTTCTCAAAGTCTTCATCCTTAAAGGATGAGGAGTATTCCGAGGGGCAAGGAGCGTTTAGGTGCAGCTTGAACTTGGTGCCCTCAGCAAAGCCTGCGGGAAAGAATGATGTCAACTAAGAATAACCCAGTGATAATGGGAATGAAAGACTGGAAATACAGACTAGAGGTGAGAGGCCCATTAGGAGACTTGGGTTATTTGTTAGTTTAGCTATTCAGTCAACAAACACCCTCTATGTCCCAGGACGAGACAGAAGATATGGAGACAATGGCCGGGACAGATCAGGTGAGACTAGTGAACACCTGTGGCGGTAACCGAGAAGGGATGAGCTGAAGACTTGGTCTAAGGCCAGGGCATTGGAGGCAGAGAGGGGAGATGAGTGTCAGAGTGGACAGACCACCAGAGCTATCTAAAGAACCTAGAAATGAAAGTTCTGTCCTCAATTGCAAAAGTTATCTGTTTCATTCAAAGACTATATAAGTAAGCAAGGCATAAAATAAAGGGCTTCCCTCCAGCTTTAGATCTGACCCTCAAGGAGGCCACTTGGGACAGACTGGGGAGAGTAGGAAGCAACGCAGAGGGGGAGGACCGGAGGAGGAGGACTCCCACTGCTGGCATGGGCTGGATGGATGACCAGGGACAGGGAACACTGGAGAGGACGATTTCTAGGGCACAGATGAGTTTCCTTTGACATGTGGAATTTTTGTATAAGAGCTTTATTGAAATAAAATTCCCATATCCTACAGTTCTCCCATGTAAAGTGTGGAATTCAATGACTTTTAGTATATTCTGAGTTGTATAACCATCACCATAATCATTTCAGAACATTTCAATACCTCCAAGAGAAACCATGCCCATCAGCAGCCACCCCTGTTTCCCCAGCCCTCCTTCCTGGCCCTAGGTAGCCACATTGCCCCCATGGATTTGCATATTCTGAACATTCATATTAAGGGATTCACACAAAATGTGGCATTTTATAAATGACATCTTTCACTTAGCACGCTTTAAAGATTTAGCCATGTGGTAGCCTGTATATAAACTTTATTATCAGGTAATATTTTGTTGTGCAGATATAATACACCTTGTCTATCCTTCCACCAATAGATGATATCTGGGTTGTTTCCACGTTTTGGTTATTGTGAACAGTGCCACGAGCACTCGTGCACAGCATTTGTCTGAACACCTGTTTTGCTTTCATTTAGGCCTGTACCTAGCAGTGCAATTGTCGGGTTACGCTAATTCTACGTGTCTTTTTGTAAGGAATTGACAGTTTTCCACAGAGGGTGCACCATTTTACCGCCCCCCCCCCCAAGCCTCCATGCCCACTTCTTTGTCAAAAATTTTGTCTTTTTTGATAACAACCTTCCTAGTGGGGGTGAAGTGACATCTCACAGGGGTGAGACTTGCCTTCCCTCTGTTTAATGATGTTGAACATGCTAACGACGCTGACAGGCCTTCAGTGTAAGTCCACTACAGAACTTTTGCCTACTTTGAAATTTGGTATTTTATTGAGTGATACGTTTTTTAATGTATGAATTAAAGCTGCAAGTCCCTCAGATAGTCTGCAATTATTTTGTACAGTACTCTGCTGTGTACTGTCTTCTCACCTACTTGAGGGTGTCCTTTGAAATGGAGGTTTTTTTAAATTTTGAATTTTCAATATTTTTTTTTGTCATTTGTGCTTTTGGTGTTACCACCTAAGAACCCTTACCTAACCCCAAATCACTAAGATCTAGGTCTCTGTTTTCTTCCAAGATTATGAATCTTTCCTCATGTCCCTGAATTTATACCAACATTAAAATGTTTCCATCTGTCAATTCTCAAATGAGCCCTCCCTGAACAGCTTTTGGCTTTAAAACATAACAAGCATAATCATAAAGGTGAAGAAATTCAGTCTAGCAATAGAATGTCAGAATAATGAACCAGAAGTTTTCAGTTACAGAAGGTCCTCCAACAGAACAATGCCAGTTTAAATTATTATAGGAATCTCAGATTCTTTCTACTATAACTTCTAATTATCCAGCTTCTAATTATCCAGAATTCTCGCAGTGCTCCAAGGACATTAAAACAGATCTTTCTAATCTAAAAATGATAACATGGCATTTTAGTGGTTTTGTATGTTATTGGGATTGGAGGTTGAATTTTTGCAACAACGCGTTCACATTGTTTTCCGGAAGGGTCAAAGCTGTAAACACACATTCCTTCCACTTGTTCCTTTCTGTTTTGAAGGCAATGGTGATCTTGGAGCACTCATCATGCCCAGCCCTGCATGGATACTTGCTTCTAGACCAACCCAGAAACCTCCAGTCATCTCTGGCCTGGCCTTCAAGGTCCCAAGCACAGCCAGATGCAAAGCTGCTGCCTAGGAATGGAGAACCCCCCTGGGTCAGAGAGGCCTGCTGCCCGGCCCCCCTTCCTTTACTTAAGCTACACTCCCAAACTCAACGGGCTTTGGTGCACGTAGAACCTCATAACTTCGTGGGTTCTTTGTGTTGTCAGCTTCACTGGGGGAAAAAAGTGACCAGAAAGACACCAGGGTGGGAGGAAAGAGAAGAAAGAAAGCAGGAAAATCAGCTTCGTCTGTTTTTGCCTTTTAAAGGACTCTCCCTGAAATATGTCTTCTTCCCACTCACAACAGGGGTTTCATTTTCTTTTCAAAAAATATTTCTTAGTTGTTGGTGGACCTTTATTTTATTTAATTATATGTGGGGCTGAGACTCTAACCCAGTGCCTCACGCATGCTAGCCAGGCGCTCTTCCACTGAGCTACAACTCCAGCCTCTGGGGTTTCATTTTCTATCTTGAAAATGATCATATTTCAATCAAAAAATGAGTACGACTGCGACTTAGGTTTCAGGATTTACATAATGATCTCATTGTCAATCTCTCAAACATATATTTATTGATTGATTGCAAAATACATCTTATAGAAGCCTCTCAACCCCACCTCCACATCTGTGGGAGTTCCTGGTGCCCCTTCCTGCTGCTCCTGAGACTGACTGTAGGCTGCCGAGGGACAGCAAGCGCCTTCCTTCCCGGTGAACTCTCACCCTGAGTGCACGGTCTCTAGGCGGCTGGACGTGCACGCACGGACTCTCGCCTTCTGTGTCCACTCCTGGCAACTTGAGCTCTGCAAACAGGAACCATTTCCTTCCTGGTCACATTCTCTATAAGCTTCCCAGTGGGAAATGGTGATGACAGTGCAAAATGATCTCCTGTGAGCGGCTATGTGACATGACAAGCATAATGCAAATATAAAGCAATTTTTTTATTGAATATTTTGAAAGCAATAAAAATGTTCAGGCAGCCTGATGTTTAAACATGCAGCACATTACTCCACTTAACATACGCTATCAAGGAAAAATGTAAGGACAGGTCTACAAGAGAGAGAGAACCTGCTGCCAGCCAGGCTCTCCACATGTTCTACCTAAATCACTCCTTAAAAGAATTTGAAAAATACTTTCAATTGTCATTTACAATTTTTCGTCTTGAGTTTAAATCTTTACACATAGTTCTGGTGTATTTTAAATATTGACTTAAAATAAAGCTGTGACTTGTTTAAATATACTCAGTGGCATTTAAATATCATGAAGACTTGCCATCACTGCCCTTAAGAAGTGTTTGCTCTTTCTTGGTAGACAGAAATGACACTGTTCCTTTTCTATTTCCATTTCTTCTACCCAGAATTAGAAATTCTGTTAGGCCCTAATGTCTTTTTTCAATCCATCATACCTCTCAACAACAGAAATACACACCAGGGGAATAAAAATTCTGGTTTTCTGTGAACCTGTCACCAAAAGACGACAATACCATCACCTGACACACCTCCTGGGGCAGTCTTCAGGGGGTGAAGGAGGCAGGGCTCTGGCTCAGTGCCAATTGCTTCCCCACTGCTGACCACCTGCCACACCTGAAACCACAACCAACAGGCTGCTGCCCCATTCCTGCACCACCCCAGCCACGCAGGTCAGACAGGAAACGGGAAGGGCAGAGCCCACCTACAGAGAGGAGTTGGCATGACTGCCACGTCCATTTCAGAAGAAAATGTTCCGTGGGTTAATCTGTGTTCCCAGAAGATGCCAAGTCCCAACCCCTGGCACCTTATTGAGTGGAGATATGATCACTTGAGATGAGGTCACAAACTGGTATAAAGGTCTATGCAACAGAGACAGAGTCAGAGGAGGAGTCCACAGCACCCGAAAGACCACAGCCTTGTTGAAAGCTGAAGCTAGGACTTGAGTGCTGACATGGGTGCTGCTTTGCCCAGGCAGCCCCGAGACACTGACAGATTCCACACTGAGGGTGTGGAAAGAGATCCTCTCCACACCAGCATGTCCATACAATGTTCAGAAAGGCTACCCTTCATAAGGGAATCAGCTTCCAGAAGGTTCCAGAGATCTCCTGATGGAAGGGAAGCAGACACCTGCTCCAGTTTCTCGGAAGTGAGAAACAGAGTTTTGGGAACCTTCACACTCTCCTAAGGGAAAGGAAGTACTTTTTTTTTTTTTTTAACCTGACATTCTGGCTGCACAAACTCTAAATGTTGAAAGTACCATAAACAATTTCCTTCTCCTTTGTTCCACACGTTATTTCCACACACATAAAGAAAAACCAACAGCCAAGGCAACAAACTGCTAAGTCAGCAATAAAAACACCAACGCTCAACTGTGGATTACGGCTTTGAAAGTAAACAGAAGTTAAAAATTAAAAATTACTTACAAACTGATCCTTTCCACAGAGGGTACGTTACACTCACTTCGATTCACTTCACAGCCAATTTAGGAGCAAGGGCTTAAAAAGTACTAAAATTTGAAGATTTAAAGCTAGAAACCACAACTTAAAAAACTTAACTATTTCCTTTAACTTAACTATTTCCTTTAACAAGTGTTGTGGTTTATTTTGAAATACACATGGGGTCATCAATTCCAGCCCTTTATCCTACGGTTATTCCGGGCAGTACATCTGGAGCAACATTGAGGGCAGAGGAAATGGGGTGACTGCACAGAGCAGGGCAGAGACATCAGCAGTGTCACCCCGTGCAGGACAGGCCCTTCCCCATCTCCTCAGCCTGTCCAGAGTCCAGGAGGCAAGCAACTTCTCTCGGATATGCCACGGCATCTTATGACCTGGTTCACCACTGCCTTTACCTACTCTCACAACTACTGTGCAAAGGCGGCTTCTGATATCAGGATTCCCGAAGGCCTGCATTCTGTGTCCCTGCATCAACCCAGCACCTGGCCCCTGGCCCCAGGGCGCGAGTCAGTAATGAGCACACAAGCCTCCCTTGTTTTGTTTTTTTTTTTAATAGAGGTAAATAGGAAAGGTAGCAGAATACAACAGTTACTAATAGGGCATTATGTAAAAATGTGGATGTGTAACCGATGTGATTCTGCAATCTGTATTTGGGGTAAAATTGGGAGTTCATAACCAACTTGAATCTAATGTATGAAATATGATATGTCAAGAGCTTTATAATGTTTTGAACAACCAATAAAAAAAAATTAAAAAAAAAAAAAAAAAAAAAAAAAAAAAAAAAAAAAAGAGGTAAATGAGTCTTACAAGCCTAAGTTGAAACCCCCGCTCTGCTCTTGCACCCCAAGAATTCTGCAGGGATTATGAGGACAGATGACAGGACCACCTGAGACAGGGCGTGGCTTCCAGACAGGACTCGAAATTGTCAGCTAATGAAAGTGATAGTAACGGCACATATAACCCAATGACCACACACATTCTCATTAAAGCACGTTACATGCACCTAACCGTTCATGAACATAAGAGTGATAATACAAGACATTTAGAGTAAAACGTACTTGTATAATCTCTAACATTAGTAAGTTCTTGAGGATAAACTTTAGCAAACTAAACCAAGTTCACAACCAAACTCTTCCAGATAAAAATAAAGGGAAAACCAGCGACAACAAAACTCTCACCAGGAATAATTATAAAACTTGAAAATAATCACTCAAGAGAAATCTTCAAGCACCTGCCTCAGAGTTTCATCTCCCCAGCATGGTATTACACCAGACACCCTCTGCCTTCCTAGGGGGTCCTGGAAGTGTGGACTACAGAAAGCACTGGTAAGAAGCACTCACTGATGACCTCCAGGCCTGTGGTGTCCCACTCACCTCCCAGACAACCCTTTCCTAATGATGCTGAAAGGCCATGTCTGAGAGGACAAAACGAGGAATTTTGCATGGACAGCCACACTGCATCGAAGCTTATCCAGTCTGTCGTCACAGGCATTTTTCATTGACTGCTGTCCTACTGTGACTAACAGGCCTCACAGCCCATGCACACCAGAGCTTACTGACTTAATACCTGCCACGTGTCAAAGTTCAGAGGTGCTGGTGTCAAAGAATGCCCCCAAGTCCATGGTTTCGTTAGAGACATGTTTATTAAAATCTGAACATGAAATCCCATCTCTATGAGACGCTTTCTCCTGAAAGGTGTTTCCCTTGCGATACAGCCACCTTTCCACATCCCTCGCCCAACTTTCACTGCTTCAGTGACACAAAAGGCAAAGGGTAATGCATGCCATTGATTGTAAAAACCCATACTCTATTATAATAAAATTTCAATGTATTTAGCTATTTCTGAAGAATGTCACCACTGTCCAGTCCCCTAACAGGCTAGCAGAAATGTGCAGGATAGCTCACATCTTGTTACAAACTTACTAATGATCAAGAAAATCACTCCCTTGAGGTTCTATTTTTGAAAGGAAATAGCATAACAATAATACATGAGGCAGAGAACCACAAATGGAAAAGGAGATGACCCAGTCAATCCAGAGCTCTAAAAAGGAAGTAAGCCAACCAGGGAGCCCCGTGGCCCATCACCTACAGCTAAACTGCTTCAAAATTAGATAAAATGTTCCTAATCTCCTCCAACTGTTTTGACAAGTCAGGTAATCAGCACTTCCTCAGGCGAGGAAATAAACTGCTTTCACCTCTGAAGGAGGACTCTCAGAACTTGGGAAAGGGTAATGCTGGGAGCCTCTTTGGGGTGATGTTTTTAAAGTGATAGAATGAGCAGCTGTCGGGCGCTCACAGGCTGTGGGTCCTTGTTATGCTGCTGGCATTTTTCTATCAAAGAAGACAGGCAGAATCTCTTATATCCTGGAGACGACTTTCTCTTTTTTCATGTGTTTTAAGCAAAACAATTATTATAAATTCTTGAGCTATAATTTCTGAGCCTTTATTAATATCCTTGAAAAAGAAATGGCATTGGAAATAGGGGGTGACTGCATATGAACTGCTCAACAATGACGAGGACGCTCCAAGGGCTGGGCCCTCGCCTCAAGTCACATAAGAGCTGGACCTAAATGATTAGCACATACATGACCAGAGATCTTAACCACTGAAGAAAAGCCTACACTGAACAGACAGGCAACATGGTGGTATATTTTAAAAGCCAGATATATTTTTATAAGATCATGCTTACAATAAGTAAATTACACAGTGAGAAAACATCAAAACAAAGCTGATGAATAAAAAGGCACATTTGAAAAGTTTAAGAGTAGAAAGAACAGTTCTTTTCATTTTGTTTCTAGTGTAGGAAGAAGAGGAACATATTAAAATTATTTTTTCAGGCGAAGGTTTCTGTCAGTCGAAGTAATTAACACTGGCTTCTTTTCTCCTTTTTCCAAAGCAGCCTTTTCCTTCTACGGCTTCTGAGAGTCGTTCAGTCCTCTGACATGTAGAGGCGATACATCAGGGCTACAGCCAGGGCTGAGACGGCTGGGATCACCCAGTTGGTCCACCAACTAGAAAGATGCAGGAGGTGTTCAGTGCAGGAACTCAAATCCTTGCTCCTTGTAATAAAAGGTTACTGTGGGGTTTTTCTCACCTCTATAACCAATTTAGCTAAAAAGGCAACTTAGCTTTGCTAGAATTGAAGTGAGCACAGTCAATGAGTGCCTGAGAACACTGGCAATTGCTTTATCCTGCTAGTTTTAACCTATTTCCACAAACTTTATACAGAGAGACTCTCCCAGGAATAGGGATTTTCTTGTGGGCATGGACTACAGGTTATGAATTACAAGGTAACAAAAGTGAATATTCCTGACATGTTTTATTCTACTCACATACATTAATTAAGAATTTCAAATGACATGAAGTGGAGAATCAGAAGGCCAAGGTTCACAGAGGGGTGGGCCGTCAGCCAGCTCGAAGCCAAGGGCAGGTCAGGTAGCCTGAGCTGCCCAGTGAAGGCCTCCGGGACACAGGAGTGCTCCGGTTGCTACTTTCACGTCAGTTTCAGCACTCTGAGATCCTGTTTTTAAAACCTAATCTTGACACCTGTGCTTGGTGGATTTAAACTTGAAGAACTGCACATACAGAGTTCTGAGTCAGTGATCTACAGGCTTAAATTCACAAAAATGCATGACCTACATATTGTTCAGTTTTGAAGCATATAGTTTGGATTGACTGTCAATTACAGATGATGGGTCAAATCAACAACAGAATGGAAAGAGCTTCAATTTAGACATGAACCTTTAAATTAATCAGCTCACTCAAAGCTCAAGCTCAGTATAAAGAGTTGAAGTACGAAAGAAATAAGTGCAACCTTGGTCTCAATGAGGCTTTTCAGTTCCCTTTAGGAGGAAGCCACACGTCAGTGAAGAGCAGGTGAAGTACTGGCAGTGGGAATGGGAATATTGCAGAACACTAGAGATGGGGCGGTTAAATTTGACAGGGCCAAATACAAATATGTTGTTTTGAGCTTGGTCAAAAAGGGGCTGGGAGCCATAATATAAGTCAATAAGGCAGAGCTGCCAGAAACGTTAATAAAGAAATCTGGTCTTGAAAGCCAGTAACGTGACACTCAGATTACTGGTTCAGCTTCAGGGCCTACTAATGACAAAGGAAGGAATCATGCCCAGGGAAATAGGCACCACAACTGAACCTGACCATGGGCCAAGAGGGAAGACAAGGGCCTCCGTCTGGTGGAGCAGCCATGGGACTGGTTACTGGAAGGGCTGTCACAGGGGCAAGACCTGGGGTCGCTGTGGAGAGTGTGTGCCACCGCTGCAGCTGACAGTTCAGAATGGCAAGCCCCACAGAGCAGAGCCTGTCGGCCCCAGGATGATCACTGAGGAAGCCATGGGAAGTCAAGTACACAAGTTATCAGGGAGAAGCCCCGTCTACCTCTGACTCAGGAGCCCTCCACCCACCATCGCTGTAGAAGAAAACCACCACATACCTGGAATTAGACTCAACAGTAGTAATAAGAGATTCCTGGAACACAAAAGAAAAAGTTAAAGCAGTGTCCAAGCATTTATTCCATTAACTGAACACCTGTTTTAAAATATGACCAGAGTACTTTATTCAATGTCATTTTTAAAAAATGTTGAAAAGGAAAATTATATTATAAACCTCTTTTCACTAAAATCCTAGCTTCATCAATTTCCCCAGAACACAAAAGTTTAAGAATTACGTATTTAAATTATCTAAGAACATAATCTAGATAATTTAAAAACGTCAAATACTAACTCTGATTTTTTAAAACATCCTGCACACAATAGGCACCTAAAAGCTTTGACATAGAAACTAAAAACAGAGACACGGAAACACACACACAACCCCACTGTCATCTCTACGAGGGGCAGTTCAGCTCTTCAAAAACAAGAAATACTAGTAAAAACAAATTATTTTGTTCAAATCTTGCAGGATATTAATGTGTATCTAATTTAAATTAAATATATGTCAACCAAAAAGAAAAAATAAGAGCTATCAGTTCAAGTTCTAACATTCTACCATGTTTTCCCAGCCTGCTTTGACTCTGACCAGACAGTACCAGCAAGATTCCTGATGGGCCTCAGGGACTGCTCCGCCTGACTGCCAAATAAGCCCTGTTTTATCTTCCAGTGCCTTTCAGAGCAGCTCCTCTCTGAGTACCATAAAGTGAGCTGACAATGTCTCTGGAAAAATGCTAAGTTCTCCAAACAGCTGAAAAACTAAGGCTCGGTAAAACATGAACTTCTCTGGGCTCAAGGTCATGTTAAGAAGCATTTTTAATATTCCACACCAGCAAAAGTATTAGTGCTTCCAACAAAAGTGGCCATGAAGGAGGCAGCTTCATCAGGTCCTGCCTGCAGTTCCCAGCAGCACAGGTATAAGCATTAGTGAAGCAGTCAGCGGTCTGCAGGGAGCACAGCTACACTCTGCAAAGCACCTGGAGACTCCAGGAAAAGGCAGAAGCCCCTCAGGAAAGTGCAAGCAATGCAGCTATGAAACCGACCAACCTTGAAACATCGCCTTTAAGATTCCTGACACAGTGGGGAAAAAATTAGTCATTTAAAAGTAAAACTTTATGTTTATTATCTATTTAAGCAATTTTAAATCTCAGTGTCTTTAAGAAGTATTCATAACTATTACAAGATTTTTAAAATTTTGTTTATGCAAATAAAATTTGCAAACATACTAAAAACCATCAAAATATGCAAGTAATTTTACTACAGTTAAAAGAAAAACATACTCAGTTCTGAAACCAACAAGCTCACTAAAGGTCAAACAGTACTATCACACTGAAAAGTCAGGCATAAACAGCAAACAGAGGGCAAACATCAACACACACCACATCACACCAGGCACGAGCATGTACGTTTTACCAAACTTGCTGAAAGCTCTGTGTAACCTCTCCCTACCCTTCTTGGTTGCCATAAGAACTAATGTGAAAACACTGCTATAAAGTTAGAACACTGCTATGTTGAAACACAGCTAGCACGTCACCACAAGGAGCAACAACAATTCTATAAGGAGCAGAACCTAAAGAAAATCATGTAGCTTCTTTCTTATTATCTTAGCCCTATAACCCAGGATGCTTGAGAATTAAAGCAAGCTCGAAGTACCACTTAGCACCTGGATGAAAAGCAAGTTGCTTTAGTGACCACTGCTCTGTGGTGCCTCAGTTGAGTTTGGAGATGAAGCTATCAGATCCATCCACGATGAACAGGGAGAGAAGACTCTAGCCTTTATGAAAGCTCCCCACCTGTTTACTCCTGGAGTTAATACAGGTTAACAACTAAACTGGTTAAGTCATGTATAATGACTTATGTAAATCAATGTTATGACAAGCTCCATATATAAACATGCAAAGCCCAACAAACCTTTGCTAAGTCAGTGTCATCTCATGTATAAGTTCATCTAGCTTAGCTCAGTCCTTGGTCTTTCTATGGCAGACTTTCTCCCTGAAAATACTGAGAGTGATGCTTCATGTGAAGCCCAGAGCCTTCAGAAGCTTAAGCCATTGTGTCCCATCATCCCAGATTAAAGCTTAAATATAGTATATATTAGACTTACATAATAATGAGAGTATAATTATAATATAATACTGCAGATGAGCTCTAAATTATTATTTCCAACCTATTTTAATGCACCTTCTCTTCCTGAAATAGTTGTAGAATTGCAAACTTGGGACTTCATGGGTTAAGAGACTTCAGCTGACAAGCCTTGGGTGTGTGCTAGACTCCATTCTGGATCTGACTTTGAGCAAGACAAACTTCATTGTCTTTATCACCCTTGGCAAGTCTGAGGATCTTACAGTGACACTGTAACAGCCACAGAGAAATTCATATCACAATGATTTGAAAATTATAACCAATAAAGGGTACTTTCTCCATAAGCAAAGCTGATAGATTTAATTAAAAATGTGTAATTTCCCTGTCTACGAATATCTTAAACTTGGCAATCTGATATCAAGCTTTCCCTTGGGCAGATTTAAGCTAATAATCTTTGGTACGTCTTGGTACATCTCACTTCACAACTCAACTAGACATTTTAAGAAGCAACGTGGTTGTTTTTTTGTCTCTTTTATGTGGTGTTAGGGATCATACCCAGGACCGTGTGTGTGCCAGGACACCATTTGACCACCATGCTACATTCCCAGCCCAAGCAGGTAACATTTTAAGATCAGACCACAGAGGACATTTTCCAGACTAGAGACAGATGGCAACTCAGATACGTAAGTAAAAAACATCTAAGGTCCCTCTTTTCTTCTGGTAAACTGAAAGCACAAGGAAGACAGATCTAGAAAAAGTGATCATATTTCATCTGCCTCTCAGACAGCCAGCAAGTTCTTGCCACCCTCCTTCAGCTATGTTCTAATTTAAGCAAAACCTCCATAAAGGGGCTTAAAAAAAACCTCAAAAGTTGATATACCTATAAGGTCTCTGAAGAGAGTAACTGTATCTGGTTTTAAAAGTTCCCGTGCTTAAGACGGGAGTCAGATCTGGAAACTATAGAGTGGTGAGGCTCCTCACACCCTTGTTTCCTGCAGCTGAAAATGACTTTGCTTCAAGGTTATTAACACCCTGAACACCAGGCAGGAAAATCAAGGGTTCTATGCAACTGTTGCAAATGCCATTTAAAGTTTGAAGTCTATTTTGAATCTTCCTGGAGTACTCATATCACCAACATGGAACTTAAGACTTTTTGAAGAGGGAAAAAAGAAAATATAAATGAAATGTCATTGTACCAAACAGCACTACCCAAGGCTTTCACTGTACTGATTGTTGAGGTGAAGATGGCCTTTACACTTACGCTACTGAATTGATAACTTTGTGTTATAAATTAAAGACAAAGTCCTGTGGCCACAGCTAGGCTGTGAGTTCACCAGTTTTTGGTACAAGCTTAGTGGAGTCTTGTTTGTGCTCTCTACAGAAAACCAACAGTATACCAAAATGGAAAAATCATACTTTCCATCATTTGAAGCAGATTTTCCTCCTCAGTTCTTTAATCACAGGCTGGCAACCACTTTGCCTGCATGCACTTCTCAGGATCTTCTGCTATTTCCATCAATTCTTACCCCAGGGTTATTTTCAAATACAGAAAAGATGGTCAGCTCAGAGGTGAGAGCTAGGAATCAGAGTGTAAATGAACGCATACTGCACACTCAGTACACCCAGGAGATGCCGAGAAGGAGACAAGGGCAGTGGCCTCAAGGATGTAGGTGGAAAGGCCTCTACTCAATCACATTTTACCTTCTCTGAAAGAAAGGCTTCTGTCAAATCTTCTAGTTAAGAAGTGCTAATAGCTTTTCATAGTTTTAAAATCTATTTATTTATTTAGTTAGTTAGTTTTTGCAGTGCTGGGGTTTAAACCAAGTGCCTCCTGCTTGCTAGGCAAGCACTCTACCACTGAGCTGTACCACCAGTCCTCAAAGATATTTACTGATAATTACAATGAATAGCTCAAGTATTGAGAGTTATATAAAATAAACACACAGCTGTCCTCAGAAAACACCAACTGATCCATACTAATCTAAAGTACACAAACCTTTGCAGGTCTCAGAGAGGTAAAAGACCTTTGTTTGACAGATTTTAAATACAATGAAGATACTGCCATCCTCTGACACATTTGAGAAGGCCACACTTACCGAAGGCTTGGCTAACTTAGATCTGTCATCCTGAAAAAAAAAAAAAAAAAAAAATTAAAATGAAGTGGAAAAATAAGGAACATTGAAAAATAATAAACTACCTACAAAAAGTGCTCACTTTTAATGAGATTTTTAAAAAACATTATTTAGTAACTAGCAATTTGGGTTTAATATTCAGCTGTTAAACACAAAGTTTGATAAATCAGGCTTAACAGCAAAAAGGAACAGCAGATTCAGTGCCAAAAGGTATTTTCTATCTGGAGTTTCACAGTTCAGAATAGCACTATGACAGTTCCATTACTCTGTGGACCGTGTGTTCATTTATTAGACTTGGACTGAGATCTTTAACTCAGGGAGCAGCTGAAAACATAACTCTTCCCCTTTCCTCTTGAATTCCCTTGAAGATGCATATCTATCCCTTAGTCATGTGATGTCCTCCATGAATCCCTGCGATCTCCCGATTGTAGGGTCATAAACTATTTAAACCTCAGTTGAGGCTGTCAAAAACCCAGGGTGTGCAAAGACTGAGCCAGAGAAGCCCTGCAGGCTAGCGAAGCAGAAGCACCAGAGCCCAGGCCTGAAACCTGCCCTCCAAACCCTGTGGCACAGGACTGCACAGAATAAGGATGGGCTGGGCCATGTTTAAGGACAGACCTCACCAATTACCACTAATTCACTTCTGGGACACACGATGATGAAAACATGGGCAAATAAATCCCCCAGATAATGAAGCCAACTCCCTCACTACATATGTCCTACCACTAAAAACAACAAAATCTTCCCCACTCAGTGGAAGTTGCTCTAAAGGATTTCCTATTCCCAGGCCTTCGACAAAGCGCCTCTTTAACGTTTCCCTCATTCAGTCATTACAGGAAGCATAGTTTACATGAAATAAAACTTTTCATATTTTATTAAAAAATAGTTCCTCAGTTTGCTCACTTAAAATGAAGCTACTGGAAGATATCTGTTTCTCTTTAGTAAGAGCCGGCTCCTGGCAGCTCTTCCGCCCCTGGCTGGCTACTTGTAACACACCAGAGCGAAGGAAGCAGGTTGGGGCCGGGCACTCTCTCTCAAGGGGCAGAGCCTGAGTCCCCCTGTCTACTCTGAAAAGCAGAGAACTCAGAGACATCCTCCCAAGTTTTCAGTTACATTCCCACAATTTAGGTGACACTTAGGTGATAGGCAAGTAAAGTTCCACAAAGTCATTTAAAACTGCCACAGAAGGGCCTAAGTTCATATCATAGCCCCGAGTTTATATAAAATGCAAAAGCAGCCAGTTTTTTTCCAAAAGCCAGCCAATGGACTAGAACCAAAGCCAACACTCCCAAAAGTCTTGGGTAAAGTGAGGAGGATAATATGCTAGTTTCACATGAGGCACAGCTTATTCATTTAACAGAACACAATTTCAGAACCATGTTTAGAATTAAAATATTCTCAGACTAATGAAAGTAGAAGAGAGGTTTCTTAAGAAAAATATTTTGGTGGAAAAAAAAAAACAAAACAAGAAACAAAAAATGTCATACTGGGTTGATACCTCCACCTTTTAAAATTTACTGCTCCATGGACTTTCAAAGACTGAGAATCGCTCCCCAGAACAGGGCCTCGGCCAGGGCATTCGGACTCTAAGTGTCCATAAAAAACACAATCACGAAATGCAAAGACTTTAAGATCGATTTACTGATGCCAAAAATGGTGTTCTAAAATCAGGAGGATTTGTTTTTGCCTTATTCCTTTCTAAGTTCTGTACAGATTCAAATCTAAACTTAGGTAAGGTCAATTGGTAGCCTTAAAAAGGAATGAGAAAAACTCCCCTTCCCCTAAAAAAAGTCCTTACTGGATGAAGCTCCCCGATGATGAATGTCTTGGACAGTTCTCTAGCATCAGTAGAGTGCCCGACATCCTCGAAGTTCTCCGTAGCATCACCCCCAGCTTGTTCTCTTAAGACCTCTTCTCCACCAGGATGCTGTTCAAAGGGCACATAGAATGCAAATCAGTATTTTTTCATACAAATGAACAAAGGAAGCAGCCAGCTTATTTAGCCAGTGCCTCCTCCAGAAGTCACAGGTGGTGATGTGTGACTGTGTCCATGTGTGGGTTAGCCATATTCCTCTGCACTCAGTCTGCTCTGTGAACATGTAGAGCCTTCCTCCATTACGATGTCACACCTGGAAGAACTTTAGGCAGGTTCAGTTACATCTGTTTTGCTTTTCCATTAAGTTCTCAAAACTGCCCCCTTTCATCTGGCCCAATCTATTTCTTAAGTCTTCCACCTGAGACTCCACCGCCTACCTGTGACTGCTTCAGTCTAAGTGTGGAATTGGGAGAGGCTGCTGGCCTGAAATGATAAGGGGTGGGGCAGGGTGGGCAGGCCGTTTCCCTGCACAGGTGGCCCTGCTGGACAGACTGTTGACGCTCTGCCTGGGCAGTGCAAGCTTTCCAGAAGGAGGAAAAGGAAAGCAGGTAATTTGTCCAAGATGCTGCCATCAGGCTAGGGAACAACAGGACAAAGAGCTCAGAGGTGAGCTCTACGAGAAGCGTGGGAAGAGCCTTTTGTGTGACAGAAGCATTTTAGTGCTTTTAGCTGCTTTAATTGGTAAACTAAGGATGGTCATAACAGCTAGGGGGATTTTTTTTCTCTAAGATGATTGACAAGGGGGTCCAGTCACTGAACATAGGTGACAAGATCTAAAGATCTCAGGCAAGGGAAGGAGTTCTCAGACAAGGAAAAAGAAAATAAACTTCTTAAACTGAGTTTGAGTATCATCTCAGATTCAAATTCACCCTGGCTTTAAGTAAATCACCTAGAAGAGGCCAACAACTGAACAAAACCAATCTCCTCTGTATAACTGACTATAGTCAGTTCTTAATTTCTCCCAATAATGGGAGACAGAGGCTCTGTGCTACTGTAGAAAAGTGGATAATGATTCTGTTTTGAAATTTGTTCCTGCTCCTTCTGGGAGAGACAGTGCTGGCTAGTAATTATCACTCACTATGTGAACTTGGGAAAATAACAGCATTTAGCTCACATAGTTTTATAGGCTAAGTATGAATATATGTATCTGGTACATATCATATGTTTAGTAAATATTACCCAGTATGTTTTTAAACATTTCCAACATCACTAAGGATCTTTCCTCAATGTATTCTGAAATAGTGACATATTGGGTCAGCATTTCCCAATTTCCGAAGTGTCTTCCACGGGGGTCATTTAGATTACACACCCCCTGTGATGAGCACACTGGAGCTACAAGCAGCTAAAGGGCTTAACTTGAAGCCAACTTGAAGCTTCTGGATGCAGCACCCAGGCTGGGGCAGTCAGAACAAGGCTGGGTTGATTCTGCAATAGACTGCACAGAGAAGAAGTGAGGTGGGATTCAGAGTGACTCACTTACCCAGCACCCACTTGTCATGAATCCACAGACTTGCTCCTCACCTGATGGCTCACGAGTCAGTAACTAGTCACCCCCATTCAGGACACGAAGATACAGGGGGAGGGACCAAGGAGCAGAGATAGAATGCAGAGCCAGAGGTAAGAGGGTCAGAGTCACAGCAGGAACGTCCTGTAGTACAGGGCCTCCCTGGGTTCAGGAAAGGGGAAAGGCCAGCCCTGGAGCCCAGTCAGGGCTTCCAGGCCGCTTTAAAGATTTTCGTCTTCTCCTGTGACCAACAGAAACCACTGAAAGAATCTAAGCAGAGAAGGTAACAAAATCAAATTTAATTACGAAAATATAACCCAGTCATCAGGATGCCAACAGACACATAGGGAAAGAGAGTATGAGGGAAGACTATTCTCTAAGGCCATTACAGTGACCCAGGCAAGAAATGATGGTAGCTCAGCCCAGGGCATGAGACATAGAATGAGATGAAAAGGTGTGAATGGGTGAGAGATGGAGTGAGATGGAGAGGGGTGAATGGACATGAGAGATAGAGTGAGAAGGAGATGGGGGAATGGTGAGAGAGATGAGATATAGAGGGTGAATGAACATGAGAGATGGTGTGAATAGACATGAGAGATGGAGTGAGATAGAGATGGGGGAATGGTGAGAGAGATGGAGATGAAGAGGGGTGAATGGACATGGGAGTGAGATGGAGATGGGGGAATGGGTGAGTGAGATGGAGATGAAGAGGGGTGAACGGGTTAGAGAGAGATGGAGTGAGATGGAGGGGGTGAATGGACATGAGAGATGGAATGAGATGGAGATGGGGGAATGGGTGAGAGAGATGGAGATGAAGAGGGGTGAATGAACATGAGAGATGGAGAGTGATAGTGAGGTGTGAATGGACATGAGAGACGGGGTGAGATGGAGATGGGGGAATGGGTGAGAGAGATGGAGATGAAGAGTTGTGAATGGGTGAAAGATGGAGGGAAATGAAGAGGTGTGAGTGGTTTTAGAGATGAAGCCAGATGAAGAGGTGCAAGTGGGCTCTAGAGACAGAGCAGATCACAGGACTTTCTGATAGTCAAGGTGGTGGGACAAAGAGGCAGCACCAGGATACCTCCAGTGCTTGTTTCATACAATTGAATGGACAATGGTACCAACTCCTGAGCAGAGAACAAGAGTCTTGAAAAGAGACCAGGTTTAGGAAATAAGCCGATTACTAGAACACCTCCCAAATACATGGTGTCTACATATATCATTAGCTTGTAATTCCTTTGGTGTGCTTTTTCAAAATCTCAACTTTATGTTACTCAAATATATTTTCGCTCCTAACAGCACATATAAAGCAGGAAAACTAATATAATATTGGAAATAGAAGAAGTAGTTTTATTTTTTCATCTATTATTTAAGGGTTATTTATAGGAAAGTAAAAAGAAACAGGTTTTAAAAGATTAAAGGTTAGAGTCATCTACAATTCATAAGACATTAATTTCCACATTTCGACCCAGTTATAGATACTCCCAAAGAAGACTTAGTACAAGCTGAGCATTCCTAATTCAAAAATCCAAAGTCCTCCAAAATCCAAAACTTTTTGAGCAACAACATGATGCCACAGTGGAAAAAAACACATCTGACTTCATGTAATGGGCACAATCAAAATATAAGCACACTAACAATATTTTAGGCTACACATATACCTTCAGGTTACATGTATAAGAAGTATATGAAATAAATAAACTTTGTGTTTAGACTTGAGGTCCTATGCCTAAAATACCTCATTATGTGTATGCAAATGCTCTCATCCCAAGCATTTCTAATAAGGGACACTGAACTTATACCTCCCATATTATAAACATTTAATGTTGGCTTCCAGCTCCTGAAATCACAGCTGGCTATACTGTTCATGGTATTAGAGTGTTCAGCAAAATTTCCCACAGTGGAAAGGGATGATGATAGCGTGGTCTAGGCTGGTTGAACAAAGGAGGTGCAGAGAGGAAGAGGTTGAAATGCCTTCTTCACTTAACTTCCAGAACAGGCTCTCCTATATGCTACCCAGGCCACCAGGACAAACACAGTCTCTACATGCAAACACAGGAGCACCCTGGGACTCAGTCCTTGGCCATGTGCCCTTCTCTACCCATAGGAGTTTTCCTGGTCATCTTATCTAGTGATCCACTTCAAAAATCATCTAGCCCCTATTGAATGAAGTTGAGTAAAAACCTCTGACTTCCCCAGCTCCAGACTCCTCCCATGTACAAGTCTACTTAACACCTTCATTCAATATTCAATACACATCACATACCATGACCCAAATGTTTCACAGACAAGCCTTGGGTCATTAACTAAAGAGGACAGGTTTCCATCTTTGCCATTTCTTACACAGCCCTCCTGTTCACTGGGCATTCCTGGGGGCTGCCAGTTTATGCTTCAGCAGTCCTCAAATTTGCCAAATTCATTTCCCATGTCAGAAACTTCCTGCTTGGGATGCTCAGCTACCAGACCCTTGTAAGACTTCATCTCACTCACACTGTGCTCCAATGGCAACTTTTCAGAATCCTGCCCTGACTTCCCCATCCCAAGTGGCCCACCCCATAACCCTGTAACACCTTCTCTGCCTAGTCTTGTTTTTCTTTCTATCATAGCACTTATTACTGTCTGACATTATATTCCATGTCAATGTCTTTGTAAGATTCATGGGGACAGAGACTTTTGTCTGTCTTGTTCATCACTATTTCTCTTATACCTAGTTCAAAGCCTAAGTATTTGTTAGATAAATGAAGGAGTTAAATAGGTCTTTACACATTGATTTTGGAACTATAACATAACCAGCTCAGTAGTTGATATGAACTTGCTCTTTCATTTCAACCAGTTCATACAACCCTCCTTACCTCAAACTAAAATAGTTCTTACCAGTCAGTTCATGACTTCACACTTAATCAAAAGAATGCCTTGTACTGCCTGCTATATACAAGGCATTGTGTGGGACACAGGAAGTACATGAAAAACTCAATGTGATGGATTCTGAAGAATTCATTTGGGGTAAAAAAAATAAATAAATAACAGAAAAGACCTGTGGCCTTCTCTGATACAGCTTCACAGTTTTGTCTATCCATGAATGACCCAAGGGGTCCTAAAAATGGAGTTTCTTTGTGTGCACTATTACCACTATGGCACAAATAAACCGTGCTCACTGTGACAGCACAGAAGAGCCCCTCAGCTCCCTGGTATGTTATACTCTCTCCAGCACCCATGTCACAGGGCAGGCAGATGACTCTCATCTCTTTTCTAATTTAAAAAAAAATTCCCCCCAGCTTTATGAAGGTATAATTGACATATAAATTTATTTATACCTCTGGTACACAGTGTAATGTTCTGACATACATATGCATTATGAAATAATGCAATCAAGCTAATTATCCTATCCATCACCTCACACACTTATTGATTTTTTTTGCAGGGAGAACATTAAAGATCTACCCTCTTAGCAATTTTAAAGTATATGCCATTATTAATAACGTCACCATGCTGCACAATACATCAGCACAAAGCAAACTGCTCTGGAAGAAAAAGCTTCTGCCAACTG